TTTAACCAGGCTCATGTCAGCAGGCACAGGGAAGGCGGCAATGACACCAGCAAGGGTCAAGGGGAACCATCTCAGGAGGGCTGAGAGCTTTCCCTGCCCCACCAAGATGTGACAGACATTATTCTGGGAAGCTGTTAATGTCACTTTAGAAAACTGACTGTCAAAGCAATGACCAGACTGGGAAATTAGCTGGGACAAATGTCCCTCAGGGTGCTACCAAAGCTACTAGTGTTTCGGAACAGGCGAAATAGGAAGAAAAGGCTCAGTTGCCATAGATGCCCACCAAGAGCAACACTGGTCCCTCCTCAGCCCTCTCTCGAGTTCTGAGCAAAAATTCTTATTCCTCTCAGTTCCCTCTCTTCCCTTTTCCACCTTATCTGGCCCTGAAAGTCTCCCAGCTGCCCTGGAGAAATCTCTGCTGTATTTGGAACAGCAGCTGGGCAGGTATTTTCCCTCTGCTCCCCTTGATGTTCCCAAAGGGGACACTGTCTGGGGACATAGAGAAGTAAGTGAGGCACAGCTCCTTGGTAAGCTGTTGTGCTTCCACCAGGAGAGGGAGGGCGGGAGCTGTTGGTCTTGGTTTGCTTTTCATGGAGAGGAACAGGCTTTGCTCTCCAGAGGTTGCTCCTTGGAGCTTGCGTGTGAAAAGCAGCACCTTTTGGGCTCCAAAGCAGGAAGCATTTTGTATTTTTTGAGTTATCCACTTGCAAAAAATTTCCCGTATTTCTTTTATGAGGCTATTTATATAAACATCAAAGAGCCAGGTGTACAGCACCTTACCCTGCCTCTCCACAGTTTATGAGCAATCCGGTCATAATTAGGGTATACAAAACACACTATGTATACACAGCCCAGGCATCACCTTTCAGCCCTTGCTGTCATTGAATAAAGATTGTCAATGAGTTCAGAAGGTGAGAAATGTCCCTCTGGTCCAGGCTGCCCACCCAGCCCCAGGCTCTGCTCCCGGGGCTGCAACTGGAGGGGCTATCTTGGGGGCCTGGATCCTTTTACAGCCCCTTCCTCCAGCACCCCCACTTTCTCATCCTGTTGTTAGAGGGTACATCTCTGTCATGCATTTGCATCCTTGAATTGGCCTAATCTCTTTCTGAACCTGCAGATACAGCGTCTGCAACCCCCTGTGGCAGCAAGTTCACCACTTGCTCCTATAACTAAGTATTTTTTGTCTGCTTCATGCTGACCTCTTTTAGTTTTGCATGAACTTCTGGTGGGTGTTTGGATGCCACCTCGAGTCAATGGCTTCAGACACTCATCAGTGATGGCTCAGCCCATCCCTGCCTGGGAACACACCTGGGCACCACGACCTCCCTGTACCGCTGGGCTGTGCCACTACTTTGGGTGCCCTGGGTCAGCCACCTGGTCCTGGTCACTTATTAACAATCATCTTATCTATTTGACCTTATGCTTCCTGCGACCTCGTTACTTCATTTACTTACCTCTTTACTCCATGCTCCCTTTTCCTTGTGACTGCTCTGTCTCCTCCAGCTGATCCGTTGCGGAGTGGGACGGGCGTGGGAAGCTCCTCAGCAGTTTCAGCTGTAAAAAAAAGCCACAAAGAAATCCCTGAGCTCCCCTGCTACATCTTCATCATCCCCATCTGCCCCTTTTATATCTTTGTCATCAGCATTGCCACTGATTTTCCAGCTGCCTCTGTGGTTTTGATATATTTGAAGAGCCTTTTATCGGCAGTTAAAGCATCCTTTGCAAGGCAATTTACGGATTTGTATTTTTAGCCCTACTTATTTCCTGTTTAATTGTGAGCTAACGTGTTTTATGTTTTTCTCTGTTGTTAGCCCACTTTGGGATTTTTGGGTTGGGTATTTTTTTGACTAGTTGCTGCAAAAATCAGTATCTTCAGTTTACACCCCAAATATTTGGGAGAAGTCAATTTAGTCCTCCTGGGAGCCCTTAATAAGCAAAGCTGCTCTATCCACGAACACCAGACACCAGGCTTTGAAACAGGGAGCATTACCAGGCTAAAAAAAACATTAAGGGTGTAGGACAGGAAACTGGGAAAAAATAGCAATTGATGACTTGGCAGTTGCCAAACTTGACAAATGACAGTCCTCCTCTCACAGGGGTGGCAGATGAGCGAGGCAGCACTAGGGTTGCCTCGCTTGCCTTTCTGTGGCTTGTGGCCCTGGGCTCCTGAACCCCAAATTTCAAGCAGCATCCTCCATCCCCGAGTTGTGCCAAGGTCCAGTAACCCTCCTGAGCCTGAGATGAAGCTGAGGTGGTCCCCACAAAACTGGCTACGGACAGTGCTGTTCACTGGGGCATTTGCCTGAATCCCTTTGGCCCTTGCCTGAGTTTCCCTAAAAGCTCTCCGTACCAGGGCTTTCTGCTGGAGAAGCTGTTCCTAGCAAGGAGGGGAGCACTTCTTCCTAGAGGGAGGGCTCCTTTTCCCTCACCCCTGCTGGAAGAAGTGCTATCATTCACCTTGAAAACAGCAAGCCATCAAAGTCAAAGGAAGTACACAAGAAGCAAAAAGTCAAGCTCTTGGGTGTCTTACCTTCATTGCTCGCTCTTATGTGTGTATGCTTCCAGCCTGGCACATCACATGCAGGATCTATGTAAAAAACAGTCTCATAAAGGAAATAAGGAGTGATTTTCACCAGCAGGTAACCAGAAAAATGTAAAATGCATCCTGCCTTTAGGTCTGAAAGGCGCTGCCTTTCACATGCAGGCTTGGATGCTGGGCTTTGCTGGAGAGTGTTTGGATGCAGGGCTTTATGTCTCATTTTCAAGGCTGGTTTCAGGCATAACCAGTGCAAACAGCATGAGGTTCATCAGGCCTGATTAAGCCCATCCTTACCCCACTGTCTCATCACGTTACTGTGGCTCAGCTCCTCTATGGCAGCTGCCCAGACCCAGGCTCTGACCCCACAGCCATCCACAGCACTGTACCCCTCCCCTGCTACCTGCATTGCTTGAATATAGAATCATAAAATCAGAATTGTCTGTGTTGGAAAGGACCTTTCAGATCATCAAGTCCAACCTTCAACCTATCGGTGACAAAAACCAGCACTAAACCACGTCCATCAGCACCACATCTACCGACCTTTTAAATACCTCCAGGGGTGGTAATTCCATCACTTCCCTGGGCAGCCTGTTCCAATGTTTGGTAACTCTTTTGGTACAGATTTTTCCTAATATCCATCCTAAACCTCCCCTGGGGCAACTTGAGGACATTTCCTCTTGTCTTATCACCTGTTACGTGGGAGAAGAGACCAACCCCCACCTCTCTACAACCTCCTTTCAGGTAGTTGTAGAGAGTGATAAGGTCTCCCCTCAGCCTCCTTTTCTCCAGGCTGAACAACCATGGTTCCCTCAGCCCCTCCTCATAAGACTTGTTCTCCAGACCCCTCATTGCCCTCTGGACTCACTCCAGAATCTCTGTCTTTCCTGTAGCAAGGGACACAAAACAGAACACAGTACTAGAGGTGATGCCTCATCAGGGCCGAGTACAGGGGGGACGACCACTTCCCTAGTCCTACTCACCGCAATAAATGATAAATATGCTCAGGTGTATCTACATAAGTGAAGAACAGCACGTGACTTTAGCAATCCCACCACCTCCATATGAGTATGTGTCATAAGCGTGCAAACCTCTGTCCCAACTCCTGAGTACAGTCTGTGCAGGTGTGCCAAGCAAGTAGGGTCTCCGGTGTAATTTTTGGTCTAGGATAAAAGCAGGCATCAGGCTTGAGTGGCACCGTCTTCCCACATCCTTTGTGGGTCTTGTGCCTGCAGGACACCCTGTATGTCCGGGGAGCAGATGGACGGGAGATCCCAGGATGTGAAAGTGGTTGTGGCAGTTCCCTGAAGCCTCTGACCCTGCCTGCAGGCACGTCCTCTCTCACACCACAGGGTGAGGGCCACGCTCGGCTCCCTTTCCCTCGCCCAACCGGATTTTGAAGGATGGGCAGCTGAAACAAAGCGCCAGCCAAGCGGTGGCAGCAGTCGTAAAACACCACAAAAAGCTATTTTTCCGTGATCATATTTCCCAACAGAATCACACGTTGCTAATAGCTAAAGAGAAGTGAAATATCTGAGAGTTTGCCATTTAGGTGCAGAATTCCAGTGCAGATAAAATAGCCGCTGCAGCCTTTGAAATGCTAAAGAGTAGTAGGTTTACAGTAGTATCTGATACCCCTCCCCAGCACAGGCTGAATGAGAACTGGTTGCAGTTGCAGAAATTACCTTTTAACTAGAGCAATCAAAGTTCCTCTGTAGCTAAATGATGCAAACATCTGGTTATTTTTGCATCTTTTATTATCAATGTCTAAGTATCACATCCTCAATAAAGTTTTACTGCTTTAAAATTTCGCTCGTTGTTGAGCTTTCGGCTGTATTTCCAGCCCCTATTGCTTTGAGAAAGAACAAGAGATAACGCTGAAAAGCCTTTTCATGTGCCTCTGGAGCAGGCTCCTGTTACAGGTATTTTGAGGATCCTCTGCAGTAAGCTGAGGGAACCAGGCAACATATGCACAAAGTTGTCATCACAGACAGAAGCCTGTCCAGCATTTTCAAAGGTGACCCAGTTGCCACCAAAAGCAATCACAGGAAACTGGTGCCAACCTTACAACAATAAACACTTGAGCTTCACTAGGTTTAATAATATTTCTGATAGGAACCTCTGAGTGAAAGCTGGGTGCTGATGCAACCAATCTGTGCACACTTGCGTCTGAACTCTGCACGAGTTTTAACATAAAATAGTCCCTGGAGTTGTAAAAAACCACTTACACCATGGGGCAGCAACATAAGAAAGCCTTGGTACTGAGAAACAATGTTTAATTGGAAAAGTTAATCTGCGTATATAAAACCAAATCACAAAATAGATCATAGAGTTAAATGATGCTTTAAATGAACTTAACTTATAAATATATTTACATATTTATGCATATATATTTTACATATACAAGGAAATGTTAATGCAAGTCAATAGATAATGCACACTCAGTAAGACAGTAAACTGTGGATTCTTTTACAGACAGATTTATTGAGTGCATGTAAAAAATGAAAAAAACCCAACCCTCAACCTTAAGATCATTCAATCAACATAAAAAGTAGAAGAGAAAATAACACACTAACACTTGCCACAGGAGCTGAGAATGCATAATCAATGTAGTAGTGCAAGATGGAGAATAGTGTTTGTTTGAAGATGCATTTCTTGTCATTTTATTGTGAAGGAAGGCTGTGTAAGAGGTCAGATGAGTACCATTGTCTCACACAATGCACGTCAGCTGAGATCTGAATGGAATGCTCTCAGATAGAAAACATTGCGGGGGGTTGAGGAGGGAGAAAACGCTGTATCTGATATAGTCAAGAGGAAGAGGAAGGGTTCTTCTCATGAAGAACCCTTTTGATCTGCCCAAAGCCATGCAGGCTGCCCATAGCTGACATGGAGTGAGCACAAGTACAGACAAAGCTCTGGGTGCTGACATTTTTCAGTATCACACATATAGCCTGGACCATCTTCCAGAAGAACTGAAAAACAGCGGGGTTAAAATCCTGGTATCTTGTCTGCATTCACTCACTTGCCAATGTACTGGCCACCTGAAAGAAGTCTAATGTTTATTGGAGCCCATTAGTTCTTTTTAAAGTCCTCTTCTTCTTCCTACCTTCTGCTTCATTTTCCCCTTATTTCAGTGAGTTGTCCATGATCTCTTTCAAGCAGGCGCCTTCCTTCAGAAAATCTTCAGAGAATATGGGGTTATGGATTTTGGTGTCTCTTCTGCTGAAGTGACTGAATTGGTGAGAAGGTGTGAAAATGTTTGATCTGACCCATTGTTGCAATGATCATCCTTCCACGGCTTCGGTTTCTTAGTATCTGCTCTGCATCCTAAAGCCCCCACTCTCACTTGATACGTCATACTACAGAGAATTTGGACAAGAAAAGAAAAGAAGAAAAGAAATAAAGAGTAGCTCTGGGTCAGAAAGCTTCTTTCTCAGTTCAGCATGTAGCACGCTGCACATGATAGCCCTTTCACCAGCCCTCAAGGAAAACAAAACATGCAGAATTTTCAAAAGTGAAAAGCTGAATTTCTTGGAAAGTTAGAAATGCCAAAATCCATGTGAATCTGACCAGTCAACTAATTAAATAGATGTTTTTCTTCTCTTAATTGGTAGCTTTTTAAAAGTGGGTGTTTTTTTAAACCATCAGGTTTCTGTGTTGCTTCTATCACGGTTTTGGCCTCAGTTCTGCAAAACACGTAGATGTATTACGGTTAAACAGATTTTTCTTCACTAAACAGGAGTGGTTTCTTGCACCACAGAGGTTGCACCAGAACGTCATTTAAAAGAGATTTGAATGGACAATGTGCTTCCTATTTACTTGCTGCATGCAGAACCCCACAAATCAATCGTATCACAGCACAGCACTTCTCAAGTCCCTGCTCCATCTGCAGCTCCCTCAAGGATAAAGCAGGCAGTTTTTTCAGAACACACCTTCCAGCTAATGACACTCCTCTGCTGAATAGGCTCCACTGGGCTATAGCAATGCAAAATCTGTGCTAGCTTGCTAACTTTTTGATGGCACTTTACCCTTTTGCAATGCAGAAGGCTCAAATGCACTCCTCCTGTGACTCAAGGATAACTACTGGGGCTTTAGAAAGGTCTTCAGAAAATGCGTCCTGATCTCTGTATTAAGGGAAAGTTTTTCAACTGCAGCTACAGTTGTTTGGTTGCTGTTATACCACTTTGGCCTTCTAGACCAAGGGAGGATGGACAGAGTGGAATTCAGGTTCCAACAAAGTCTGTAGCCCACAGCGCTACGGTTCAGGAATGTAATTCCTGTAGGCCTGTGGGAAACACTTACCGGATCAGCATAATCCATCTCTGGAAAATGATCTCTATTTGCAGAACCCACCTCATATGGATTATTTGGCTGATATCCTGGGTTCGCATGGCCAGAAGTGGTCTGGACTCTGGGGAAGGTTGTGTTCTGTCTCTCATCAGATAAGTTTGGGTTGGAATATCCTGGTCTCATCAGGCTCCTCTTCTCTGGATCTGGTTTGTGTTTGGCTCTTCAGAGGAAATGAAAGAACAAAGGAGGTTTTAAAAGAACTTTTAGTGTGCCGTATTTATGGAGTAAGTCTAATTCAATGAGTTGTCCACTCCCATTTTATTTTGAATATTCAGTTCTATTCTGAAACATGCGATAGATTTTTCTAGCATATCTGTTGCAAAACCCTTGTTACCAAGTACCTTGTTACTGATAGAGTACAAAGTTTGGCATCTCTTACCACAGATGGGGCTAGACTGCTAGGTGAGACGGAGGGGAACTTTGGCCTCTTTCAACTGGTTCCTACATGAAGGAGTTTCCTTCGTCACCACTAGCTCTAACTGACTATTCAGAGGAAGAAATGAGGCATTCATTATGCTCAGTAAAGTTGCCCTTGTGCCTGCAGCCAAAGCTGGGCATTCAAATGATGCATTTGAATTGTCTGTGACCACAAGTCCATACATTGCACAGACACTCGCCACCAGCTTGTGCACCTGCTGCTGAGCTACACCTGCTATGGGGGGGGTCCTGTGGGCATCTTCACCTGGACACCACTGAGAGCAAAGGCAGAGGAGCTGCTTGGGTGCTTTATATTTACTGTGTGGAGAGAAGTAAGGAGGTGCAACTGCAATTGGGGATGTGCCAGTACACCAGGAATAGCAAGCTTTAAAGTGATGTTTGGTTGGAAATGTGACCTGTATTGAGCTGAAAGTGGCAGCACTTGAGCTGAAGTGCTAGCAGGGAACCCTGCAGAGGGCCTGAATTTGGGCCACACAGTCTTCTGATATCAGCATCCTTCTTCAGTCTCATCCAGATGCCATATCAGTACTGGCTAGGGCAGGATTAGGACTGTATTGTATTGTAGGTCAGGTGTGTATTTTCAAGACTTGGGTAAAGCTTTCATAGTCAAATTCACAGCAAGAGAATAAATACTTCGGGGAAGAGCACACAGACAAAACCAAATTCTAATGGCTATATGACTTAAATTAATTTGTCTGCCTAACTAGGCATGCAACAACATCTGCAGCCCTGCCCCTCCCTGAATTTCTGCTTAGTTCTCTACAAACATGCAGCAGTGCAGGTTCTATTCAACTACAAGAAATACTCTTACCTTACTGAAACAACAGACACTGCTATCACTAAACTCAGGATAACGGCTCCAAACACTGTACCCACTATTATAAGTATGAGTTCACTATCAGCATCCTTCTTCAGTCTCATCCAGATGCCATATCAGTACTGGCTAGGGCAGGATTAGGACTGTATTGTATTGTAGGTCAGGTGTGTATTTTCAAGACTTGGGTAAAGCTTTCATAGTCAAATTCACAGCAAGAGAATAAATACTTCTGGGAAGAACACACAGACAAAACCAAATTCTAATGGCTATATGACTTAAATTAATTTGTCTGCCTAACTAGGCATGCAACAACATCTGCAGCCCTGCCCCTCCCTGAATTTCTGCTTAGTTCTCTACAAACATGCAGCAGTGCAGGTTCTATTCAACTACAAGAAATACTCTTACCTTACTGAAACAACAGACACTGCTATCACTAAACTCAGGATAACGGCTCCAAACACTGTACCCACTATTATAAGTATGAGTTCACTATCTGGAAAACAAACAAACAAACAAACAAGAAACATCAATTGAAAACTCATAGTAAATACTGAAAACCAAGTTCTGTCCCTGTCCTCTTACTATTAAAGACAGAAAGAAAGAAAAAGAGAAGGAAGGAAGGGAGGGAGGGAAGAAAGAGCCAATCTCCAAAACTTCTAGGCAAAACCAGAAGCAAACCCTTAAAGATCTCATAGGTTCAGACACAGGTATGTTAAATATGTGCAAGTTTAAGAATGCAGCAGTGTGAGACTCCAAAGGGCCACATGAGGATATGCCTTTTTCTTAAATAAAGCCAAGGGGGTTGTGAGAAGTGAAGAACCATAAATGGTTTCCAACTTGCCTTTGACTGTATTAGATGTTCTGAGTTTAGGCACATACAAACACTAGAAAGCATAAAAAATGTCGTCTCCTAACCTATATGAAGGTGGAAACTAGAGAAGGTGCAGCAAATAGCTGCAAAACTGACTCAGAAAAGGAAAAAAAACTTTAGAAGGCTGGCTGATTAGCTTGTCCTGGTGATTACAGTTACGGGAGAACAGTAGGTCTTCACCAGTATAGAGTACCAGATCTTATGCAGTGCTTGCAAGATAAAGCACAAACAAGAACCAGTGGTTGGATATTAAAGCAGAAACATTTCAAATGAGAGAAAATCCAATGACATTTTAATAGAGGAAGTCATTAATTACAGGAGAAACTATCCCTTAGTGGTAGTGAGTTCAGCATTGCACGTCTTTAGATGAGGACTAAATGCTTTTCTGTCAAACAACCTGTGTTTGACTGGAAACTGCTGGGCTTAATGCAGAGGTCATTGGAGGAAATGCTACTGTCTGTCTGAACATGAGTTTCAAGAAAGATTTTTCCTTCCAGGCAGCAGTAGAATTTCACTCCTTTTTTCTAACCCTTTCCTGGTATCAATAGAGGATGTTGGCACCCATAAAGGCTTCTACTTGTTACTTTTGTTATCTCATGCAGATTAAACATTACCAGGTATTTTTTCATGCTACAATTAAAAATGAGAAATTCTTGTACTCACTGTTATCGCAGTTGTCCCCAGAGTAGCCCACTGGACACCTACATGAGAGAAAAAAGAAAGGAGGGGAAGGAAGGGAGGGAGGAAGGGAGGAAAAAGTGACATTAAGTAGATGATCACAAAACTATAGCCTATTTCCACTTTTTATCAGCAATTTCTCCACAATGTGTGTTCATTACAGGTTTCCTCATCAATGCTATCTTAATATTGAATTCTTTAGTTTCATTGTTAGAGTAAAACAATCTGAGATTTTTAGAATAATTGGTGAGCGGGACATTCAAAGTTTCAGGTTCTCAGCCTGAAAAATGTTAAAATGACCTTATTTCTCCAAAGAACTAAGCCCTACACCTCTGAGCCACTTAGAATTGCTATCCACTGTCTTTAACAAAAGCCTCAACATAAGGTCTATAAGGACCGGCAGCTCTTTATCTTCCTCCCATATTAATTTCTTATAATTAAAAAGTATCAACTTTATGGTAAGAAGTGTTCGGTGTGTATCAGCAATAACTACAAAAAGAGTTAATTTAATGGATATGGGGAGTAAGGTTCCTCTGTTTATCCACAGAATCAGAGCACAACCAGTTACTTCCTCAGATTCAGCAGCCAACACCACAGCTCTCTTCTGATCCTGAGCTGACAGAAATACCCACAGAGGGAAAACCAAGATGAAAGAGCATAGGTCTGAAAGTTAGCAGGAGAGAAAGGCCCCACTGATTTCAGTGGAAACTTTTCAGGGGTTGGAGGTGAGTCTTGCTCTAATGCTTGTTACTAAATGCTTCAGCATACTAGTTCTCATGGCTCAATTACTTTGAGGGAATAGTTTATGTATATGTGGGCAACCCACAAGACAAGCATGAATTAGTTTATCCTCTTCACTGACTCACAGATATCTTGGATCTCCTTGACTTTCCTCTGAGGTATTATGAGTGCACACCACCGGCTAATGCCAAGCAGTTAAAATACCACAACTTCTGCTAACCACCTTGGGCACCTCTCTGATTCACACAGCTGCAAGCTGTTCTAGGTTGAGGGTGTTAGATGTTCTTCTCCCCTATCTTTGCCTAGAACACAGGAACACAAGAAAAAGCTGAGTACTCACTGTACACATACTCCATCCTTTCTTTCAAAGTTAGGCTTGCATTTGCATTGTGGAATCCCTTTTTCTTTTGCACAGTACTCGTGTCTTTCGTCAGAACAGCTTTTACTGCAATCTGTGTTTTCAGAGGGAAAAAAATACGGAGTGAATTGAAGATAGCCCCCAAAAAATCCACATTGGAGAAAATTCCACCTCCTCTTTTTTTTTTTCATTGCACTGTAAACATACACAACTTCGTTGTGCCACCTCCTCTTTTTTTTTTATTACACTGTAAACATACACAACTTTGTTGTGTTTCAAAGCACCAGAACGGCTTCTTTAGGGCTATTCCTACGTAGAACAGAAACTCAAATAGAAAAGCACAAAATTAAAAGTAAACAGTCTTTGTTTAAACCATCTAGCTTCATCAGAACGGAAATTTGGCTGGGCTGCACCTTACATAGGCAAGCAATGACCTGCAGTTTGATTTCACAGCAGATTATTTGTATTGTAACTGATTTGAAACTGAATTGGATTTAGACAGGTTAAGGGCCACAAAGGTCTACACTGGATCACATCTCACTGGCCTTTATTATAGCCAGCTTTCATGATTTTATCATGGGTATTTGCAATATTTGTTGTTTTTCTTAAAATTTCGTATCTTAGACTTTTTTCCTGTAGTGTGAAAACTTTAGTTTTCAGAAGAAGAAAATAAGGTATATCTCAGGGTTGAGGAGGGTAGCTAAAAATATAAACAGATAACTCATTAAAAGATTCAAAAACAATATGCAAATAAACCCCCAACAACTAACAGCTCCTAAAAATCACATAAATCATTTTTCCCATGAAAACCTGTCTAAGCACAAGTAATGCAATCCTAGAACTACCAAAAAGGGACAGAGCTTTAACAGATCGTCGTGCATCATGAGAGTTCCAGTTCTGTCAGTGTCCCCATAGCTGCCTCTAGCAGCATTCCCAAAATATGTCCTGGCAGAAAAGGCTGTGAATGTAGGATTCAATTTATTCCATCCTTTACCTATTTAGGTTTCAATCCTTACCAAGAGTTTAACAATGCATTTAGAGAGTTGCTTATTCACTGTTTTCAGTGAGTATTTTCTCAAATTTAGTAGTTTATTTCACTGGAATAGAGCTATGGATGTGTTCAAAGTGAAACATGAGAATGTGATTTCACAGCTTTCCTAGTAAGACACACATTCCCTGATTTTAGAGGTTGGCACATTTGCGAAGTGCCCTTTTGAAAAAGGGACTGAGACAGGGAATAACCAGGTCGGCCTTTCAGGGATAAAGTAACAAGATTCTTACCTGAACAAGAAAGAACATCCCATGGAGTTTTCGAGAAATCAGCTCTGCATTCGCATGTAGGAATCATAGTTTATTCCACTGGAATAGAGCTATGGATGTGTTCAAAGTGAAACATGAGAATGTGATTTCACAGCTTTCCTAGTAAGACACACATTCCCTGATTTTTAGAGGTTGGCACATTTGTGAAGTGCCCTTTTGAAAAAGGGACTGAAACAGGGAATAACCAGGTCGGCCTTTCAGGGATAGATAAAGTAACAAGATTCTTACCTGAACAAGAACGAACATCCCATGGAGTTTTTGAGAAATCGACTCTGCATTCGCATGTAGGAATCGTTTTTTCTTGGCACACTGTGGTTTCTTTATCACAATTATAAACATCACAATAGTTTGCAGCTTTAAAAGAGAAACAGGAAGCAAACTGAGTACTAATAATATAATTTCATAGAAAGCAGTGCACTAGCTCAGTAAATCATAAGCCAATGATCTAGCAATTAAAAAAAAAAACCTTGTTAATATAATTTCATAGAAAGCAGTGCACTAGGTCAGTAAATCATAAACCAATGATCTAGCAATTCCAAAAAATCCTTGTGAGTCATAGAATCATAGAATCGTTTAGGTTGGAAAAGACCCTTGGAATCATTGAATCCAACCATCAACCCTACTCTACAAAGTTCTCCCCTACAACATATTTCCCAACACCACATCTAAACGACTCTTAAAAACACATCCAGGGATGGTGACTCAACCACCTCCCTGGGCAGCCTATTCCAATGCCCGACCACTCTTTCTGTGAAGAATTCTTTCCTAATGTTCAGTCTGTTGGAGCTTGAAGCCATTCCCTCTCGTTCTGTCACTAATTATTGGCAAGAAGAGACCAGCACCAACCTCTCTACAGTGTCCTTTCAAGTAGTTGTAGATAGTGATGAGGTCTCCCCTCAGTGACTTTCTGACTCACCTTAAAAAAAACTATAAGAAAAACCCCAGCACGATTCCCTTAGTTTTTTCTACAGCTGAACTGGGAGGCACAGATCCCATACAGTTCTACATAGATATAAATGTTAATGAGCATGCAGCTCATTTCACAAGCAATATTAGTATGCTCTTTGCCCAGCGTGTTGCTCTTTAGATCCATGTCCCAGTGGCAACAATGCATTACAAAATTCAGTGGGTGTTCTGTCACTAATTATTGGCAAGAAGAGACCAGCACCAACCTCTCTACAGTGTCCTTTCAAGTAGTTGTAGAGAGTGATGAGGTCTCCCCTCAGTGACTTTCTGACTCACCTTAAAAAAAACTATAAGAAAAACCCCAGCACGATTCCCTTAGTTTTTTCTACAGCTGAACTGGGAGGCACAGATCCCATACAGTTCTACATAGATATGTTTATGAGCATGCATGCAGTGGAGGGATGTGATTGCACTGCTGTTTTGTGAGCTCTCAGGTTTTTTTTCTATTTCCCCCTCATGTTTAGGTAGAGCACGCTGTTCTGGTTGAGGTGGATACAGTCACCTTCAGAGACCAAACCCAGGCCATAAGCCATGAAATGGACTCCTTTAATTATTACCTGCATCTTTTGTGAAAGTTGATTTCAAAATAGGAGCATATGAAAAAAAATTTAAAAAAAAGAGGAAACCCCCCCCATATTTTATTCATAAAATCATTCTCCAAGTATTACAGTCTTAGTAACACAAGGCTTTACTCATTTAGACCAATAAGTAACTTAGCTCAGCAGCTAAGAAATGAGGCCTCATTTCAATGACCATGGTTAATTATGGAAGAAGAAGTCTAAAAAGAGTTTGAAGAAGTCTAAAGAGAATTTGAAGAATTCTAAAGAGAGTTTCAACCTATTTTGCCAGTAAAATGCTGGACTATTCTCAGAAGCACAATATAAGTTTGTATATATTTTGTCCTGATTTTCCAGCCACTTGACACTCAGCAGGTTAAAGTCAACATGCCATTGCTTACTTGGAAATAAGTATTTTCCTTCTCTCCTTTACACAGGAAGTACAAAACCTTATTAAGATAAAAAGGCCCAGCACTGAATGGCTGAGTCTTCAAAATTACCCAAGATTGAACATTCAGCTCCTTAAAATCAACAAGGTTTATGCTCTGGTGGGCTTTGCTGCACACAGAAATGTTCTAACCAGTTTTGAAGATAGGAAGTCCTGGTTCTGCTGATTATTTACTTCCAGAGTAAGGAATTACCTACCTCTGTACCCAGAGACAGGTGAATTTATAGTTGCTTTTTCAATTGCCGAAGTAACTTCCTTCTTATCTACATCCGAGTTGTGCGTAAACAGGTTCATCACTGTTACACTTGTTAAAAGAGAAGCTCTGACTTCTTGTGCAGATCTGAAAAGTACAGATAGAATAATTTTAAAGTCTCATATAATCCATATGGATAGCAAGCTAGATGCAAAGGCAAAATAAGATTTCTGCCAAACCTTCCTCTCTCCCCTAGCTCCTTTCATCCCACAATGTAGGTAGCTGCTAAGACACCGAAAGTGAGTTCACGTCTTGCTTAGGAATCCATCTTTCCAGCAGATCCAGATGTAAATAGTAGCTGGTAAGTAAAGGCTGTTGAATTTAATGCTAAGAACATCACTCCTTTATGTGCTGTTGGCACACAACTGACCTTTTTTTACTGGGCTAATCTCAAACCAGTTGCAGTGTGGAGGAACTCATCTGTTAGACCCTAACCTTTACATGCTCTCATCAGCCTGTGGTGTCATCCAGGCATGACATAGAGAATCCATCCTTAAGCGTGGTGAGGATAATTCAGGGTATGACTGCAGTGAATTCAGAAGGGTGTGTTTGCAATCTAGAGGTATCTATGCTAACTGCATGCTAGCTGGGTTGGGTTCACCCGGACAGCAATCTCCCCGGGGTGTGAGGTAGAGAAACTTGTTCTTCAGCTGAACTTCATGCTGCTGGGATATGCACACAAACACCTTTTAAGTGGTAGATTGCTGTAGCTCTTTAAAATTTTACTGTGCCCCACTTTTGTCACAACCACTCTGCTGGAAGTTACTGCCCTCACAACCCTGCTGGAATAACAGTCTGCTCAACTGCTTAGTCCATGGGGTTTGCTGAAAGGGTTTACACTGCTGTGTGTGCTAGCATGACAGGGCCAGAAACCTTCAAAATACAAAAAGAATGGCTTCATTCAACAGGAAGCGTACTGAGCTGAACTCATCCCATACCCTTTCTTGAACACGGAGTACCCCATGGGAAACAGATTTAAATGGGGTGGTGTGGGAAGCATGCACTGTGCAAAAACCAAACTGGCAGACTTACTGAATTTGCGTGATGACGGTCTGTTCAAAGCCTGGTAAATTGCTGAAGGCGTCCTCAAACTGTAAAGCGTAAACGAATTTGAGTTAAAGGCAAGCAGAAACATAGACCAAAATCACAGGAAGTGCTGAGTATTCAACTGTAGTTTTAGTCCAAAGCACACTACTATAGGGATAAATAAAGCAAGCTGATCAGTCACATCCACCGTGCAAGGTATTGCGAAAGAGGAGTGGTGGCGTGGTGCTGTAGAACAGGAAATATAGGAAAGCAGTGGAGTTATGGGGAGACATGAGCTAAATCAATGTCAGGCAGTGTGTTAGGGTTGACTGCCTGGAGAGCTACAGATAATCCCTTGCAGACCCATCACTTACAAGGGTGTCTCTGCAGTACCAACCTAGAGTAGGTAGAGGGAAGAGGGAGAGGTAGGCATCCTTACAGATGCCATGTGTCCCTAACGTGCAGTGAAGTGGGATCATCAGGGTTGATCAGCCCCGAGGAAAGCACTGGAGGTTGGATGAGGTCAGAAGAAAAGTCACTGCTCTCCCTCGTTCTATGTGAAACAGGGAACATATGGTGGAGGCAGCTGCCTCCAACTGACACACAAGCAGAAGGCACCATAAAAAAAAAAGGATAAGATAGCTAAGTCAACTGAAATGAAAGATAAACTGTCCTTCTTTGTAATAAAATAAAAATTATTTTCTATGCTATTTTCACTTTTGCCTACTATTACATATGTATTTTAGTGCTGCAGAGCATGCACTTCTGTAGCCATAAAATTAAAAATGTTGCACCAAAAAATTAGGGAAAATATTTTTTAACATTTTGGAAGGACAATTTTTGGTTACTTTCCAATAAGACATTCATAGTAAGCAATACAATTACAAGAAGAATTTTATAACCATTTTTGATAAATTCTGATTAGTATTTGGTGAATTTTTTTGATCAGCTGTCTGGTAAAATCATATCTTTATCCTGGTAAAGTCTTCCTTACTTCCAGAAAACAACATAAGCAAATCCACTTGTTTCAACATGGCAGTATAAATGAAATTACTAATCTTATTTCTCCAGGAAGCCCATTACCATATTTTATCTATAATCATAGAATGCTTAAAATGTGTAGTATCCATTTCACTAATAGCATTACAATGCTAATACTGGTGTGCTTATAGAAGAAGCTGATTATTTAGGTATTTAGACACAGCTGGACAGCCCTTCTGATACATTTGTGCAGTGTGGAAATGATAGCTTTCTTTTAAAAAAAAAAAAAAATGAAAAATTGTTCATTTTTACATTTCATCAGAAACTAAATGGGTTTCAAACTTCAAACTTCATTCAGCCACATAGTTTCTGGAGAGGGAATGGTGAAAGATACAGAGCAATTTATGTGAGAACTTCCCAGAATAGGAGTGGCACTAAAAATGCAGATATTATTTATTACAGGTACATCCCTTCACTTCAACAAGAGCCATGTACGTACTCATCTGAGGGCAGAATTCAAGTCTTTTATGAAGAGGTCTAAATTAGTGCTTGAAACAAGTAGATTTTTCAAGTAAAACTATTCTAGGCTTCACATTAAAGACAGCGTGTATCCCCTCTGTTTGCATGACACTCAAGATAGCATTAAATATACAGAAAAAAACCCCAAAACATCATCACTCACAAACTTTGTTATATTTTGGAACATCTCTTCATACTGTGTGGAATTTACATTTTGAAGATCATCACTGTAAGAAGCATTCAGCGTAATGACTCCTGGGAATACTTTCCCTGGAATGAGAACAGAGAATATTAATTACTTAGAAAGCATTCAAGTACTAACTAAGGTTTCAGCTTAAGAGTTCTCCAGCCTTCAGAGATGGAGAAATTCAATGCAGAAATCAATCAGTGCTATTTTTCATATACTGGAGGAACCAGTAGGGGACAAACATTTGCTTAAACAATTCAGATACAATGGGGGGCATACTTTGGCTACCGGGGAAGCAGGCAGGATCCTGGGCTCCATCAAATTGGCCAGACTATGAAACTGAATAGCGATAAACTGTAAGCATGGCCTGAAGCTAACAAAAGACTCCATCTAAAGTGTTACAGTGTTTAGTGAGAAAATACCTACGTTAAGGACTCCAAAGCTGCAACCACTAAGCTGCTAATGTGATTCACCATATCTGAGACGGTGATTCAGTGTCTACCTGCCTCTTTAGGCTTACAAGTAAATTTGAGAATCATGCTTGCTGGCACTTAAATAATTATCCCCCTTTGCTTGCACACTTGGCCTTCAGCAGCATCTCGGAGATGCATTTCAACAGGACTGTGCTGAGTGTTTAGCAATAGGGAAAATCAAGACGGTTGTTTAGAGGTCTTCATGGGCCATTAATATTGATGTCAGGTTTACACTCGCATTTTTTCCTGCTTTTCACTTATTTTAATCTCCAGCACCCCGACAGAGAGCTCACCTTCTTTTCCTAGCACATTAACCTCTTTGGCTGTTACCGTTTTGTGAGATAACAATCTAGGTCAGTGTAGCAGTGGCTGTCTGCAAAGCAAGGCATTATTCCGCAGCCACTTTCCCAGACTGATTGTTTTCAGTTATAAAGTGAGAACAAGGGGTATGGGAAGACAAATTCACCTAAGCAGTTGTCTGTGAAATAACCAAAAATATAGATTGCCCTTCTGCAACTCACCTTGACGACAATTGTTCTCGCTGTAGTAGAATCCATATTGGCACCTGCAGGTATAATTGCTGTGTAAAGCAATACATTCAGCCAAATCTGTTCCACAAGGGTTTGGGTTGCACACGTCCCCTGATACAAAAATGAAGGATACTAATGTTAGGATTTCTGTGAAGTTGCAATAGCCAGTCCATATATAGTTCATACATTGAATAGTTCATATATGCTTCTACTAAAAGAAACTAACAGGTACGTTTTGTGAGATAACAATCTAGGTCAGTGTAGCAGTGGCTGTCTGCAAAGCAAGGCATTATTCCGCAGCCACTTTCCCAGACTGATTGTTTTCAGTTATAAAGTGAGAACAAGGGGTATGGGAAGACAAATTCACCTAAGCAGTTATCCGTGAAATAACCAAAAATATAGATTGCCCTTCTGCAACTCACCTTGACGACAATTGTTCTCGCTGTAGTAGAATCCATATTGGCACCTGCAGGTATAATTGCTGTGTAAAGCAATACATTCAGCCAAATCTGTTCCACAAGGGTTTGGGTTGCACACGTCCCCTGATACAAAAATGAGGGATACTAATGTTAGGATTTCTATGAAGTTGCAATAGCCAGTCCATATATAAAGTAGTTCATACATTGAATAGTTCATGTATGCTTCTACTAAAAGAAACCATCAGGTATGTTTTATAGAGTATAGATGGAATTAAAGAGCACATGGCTACGTCTTGCTTGCTTTATGTCTGTATAGGAACTGTTTTCCCTACACAATCCAGCAGGATATCACAGTGAGGACACAGAGTAAGGCGGAAATCCATCACCTGTCATACTGAGCATTCACAATCTAACTCTATTTAATGCAACTAAAACCAAAACAAACATAAAAGTATATCAAGGGTTGCCAAAATCAGCGACTAATTCAGAAAAAGGCAGGTTACAATAGCCTGTGCATCTTCAATGCTGCACTGGTATGTACTTGCCTTATTATAATATAGAGTTATGGTAGGGTCCTTTATTGCAGACACATTAATGAAAATGAAAGCTCCCAAGTTAATCATCATAGTATACACACCTCAATAGATATAAGAGCATGACGCTAAGGAATTTGTTGCAGGGCTCACAGCTGTCACCATAATATGACTAATTATATTAACTGGCCATTACGCCATACTTCTAGGCAGTAAAACCTTGTGGATTTGTGCTGACTGCTGCCTTCTACTTACTTGCTGGAGTTGTTGCTGAAGATGATGTTGTGTTCGTTCCCAGAAAAGGGAAAATAAGTTAATATGGCAGCCCTGTTAGTGTCCTGGTTACATTGAGGCCATCAAAGACATGGAATGATGCCTCAAAACCTTTCCCAGACCTTCCTCTACCTTGCCCTGTACAGTGCCTTGTCCTTACTTCCTGCAACTTCCTGCTCAGTGTGACTTACCCTGTATACCTGCCTGTGATATCTCTTCTCTGGCAACCTCTCTTTCCATTTGATTTGCCCTATCCCTGCAAATTTTCTCAGTCCAAAAGCTCTGCAGGGTCCACACATCTCTCCCTATCCCCCAATGCCAAGCCTGTCATTGCCACCCCAAGACAAGGGCAAGGTTCTTGTTTTCACCATCACAGCACCTTCCAGACCATTCTGTGGTGTATGCTTTTGTCCAGAGCCAACCCTCTTCAATTTCATCATGTTTAAACACTTGGGAGACTAACAGCACTATAGGAAACCTTCCAGCTAACCCTTCCTTGAAAATCACCCTGAGAGAGGCTAGCCCAGAAACATGCACAGCAATAAAAAGGAGAAATCTCTTAGAAAGATGTGGTAGCAGATCCACTAGAAGAAAAAAATTTAGGGAGTGACAGGACATTAGAATAATCTCAATTACATTTCAAATTTAAGTTTTTATAGGGTACACTCTTTGCCTGCAATGGCCACAGTTATACTTTCCCTCAGTAATGATATATTCTCTAAGGATTTTAAAGTATATATTTCAAATCTATACATAATTTATTCATTTATAAGTAATTAAAAGTTATATTTCAATATATGTTATATATAGGATGGCAATTACAGTTCTCTTCCAAATCACCAAATTCTGGTTTTCACCATGGCTGGTTTCTTTCACTTAATTCCACAGGTATGTTCTAAGAGATGAGGTAGAGATTTTCTGAGTAATGGGGGAAAATAAAGTACATCTCTTTCATCCCCCAAAAGTGGAAAGGAAAACACTTAATGGTGTTTCACTTGCTAGAGGGCTTGTCTCCAGATGTTTTGTTTCCAGAGCTCATACAGAAACCAAACTATTTTTCTGGAGGCAGAGACCCCAAGCAAAGCAACAATGTTTCTGAAATTATCCTCAACGCTTTCCCCTTGCAGCAAGGGTCAACAGGACAGAGTGGAGGGGAGACACAGCATTGAAAAGGAGCTCTCTGTCTCCCCTGGAACATCTCACTGGGATGGGGGTCTTGGTGGGCCATGGAGGATTCCTTGGGAGAGACCGCTCCATAGTCCCATGACACGGTCCCTGGAACTCAGCCCCATGCTGGTGCATGCTCTGGCTCCCTCCCTGCCAATGCTCCAAGCAGGCACAAGAACAATTCCCTGCAGGGCCTGGTCACAGGCTTGCCCCAGGCACCTTGTGTGCAGGGATCTTCTTGACCCAGGATTGGTGCAGGAGACTAAGGCACCAAGCAGGAAAAGAGAGGAGTGGACAGGACTGACAGATAAAACTGTGAGGCAGCAACTGCTCCTGTATGGCAATGATGTGAAAAACTAATGTAGACCTTGGGATCTCCTCAAGGAGGCAAAGGAATTAAGCAAGAGGAGACAGGGTAAATGAGATCATCATCAACACATTTCTTTGCAGTAAACACTAAGAGGGTCAGAGGACAAAGGCAGGAAAAGAGATGCAGACTTGATCTGGGGCTCTGCAACTGCACCAAGAAAGAAACTTGGGGAAACCCAGGCAAGGGAACACATCCTTGACCTGAGAGGAATGCTGAGCTCCCTGGGAATGAGTTTCTCCAACCTGTCCTTATAAAGGCCACCTGAAGGCTTTTTGCTCCTTACCTGTAGTTGAGGTTGTTGGCTCTGGTGAGGCAGTAGCCGTTTCAGTGTTGTCCTCTGGAGAAGGGAAAAAGAAGAGAGATGTCAGCAGTGCTTAAGGTTGTGTGAAGGAAAAGCCTTGGGGAACTCTGTGTGTGCAGAACAACCTCTGAGTGGGTAAGTGGGGGACCTGTGTGGGGCTGAGCAGCCACAGTCCTGGGTCACCTTGCCCAGCCTTTCGGCTCTCCCTGGCCATGATGCCTCTGGAGTCTGACGTATCTATGGCCCCTTCTCCCCCAGATCCCTGAGCTTCAGACCATGGCCCACGTGGGCAGTGCATTGCTCCCAGCTCAGCTGCACTCACTGGCCACAGCTGTCTCAGCCACTGGCACACGTGTGTCTCCTTGCAGGAAAGCTCCCTCCATCTGCCCAAGGCACCACCACACAGACAGCACCAGCTGACAGGGCAGGCTGAGGGCACCCATCAGCCCGTTAGTGTGCTACCTACAATGGCCTGCTTGGTGACACTGTTTTGGGAAAACTGTGAAGCAACTATTGTTCCTGCATGGCAAGGATGTGAGAACCTAATGTAGGCCTTGGGATTGTTCAAGGAGACAAAGACAGCAAGCAGGAGGAGACAGGGTAGCTGAAATCAGCACTTTTCTCTTGCAGCAAAGTTGCAGTAAACACTAAGAGGGTCAGAGGACAAAGGCAGGAAAAGAGATGCAGACTTGATCTGGGGCTCTGCAACTGCACCAAGAAAGAAACTTGGGGAAACCCAGGCAAGGGAACACATCCTTGACCTGAGAGGAATGCTGAGCTCCCTGGGAATGAGTTTCTCCAACCTGTCCTTATAAAGGCCACCTGAAGGCTTTTTGCTCCTTACCTGTAGTTGAGGTTGTTGGCTCTGGTGAGGCAGTAGCCGTTTCAGTGTTGTCCTCTGGAGAAGGGAAAAAGAAGAGAGATGTCAGCAGTGCTTAAGGTTGTGTGAAGGAAAAGCCTTGGGGAACTCTGTGTGTGCAGAACAACCTCTGAGTGGGTAAGTGGGGGACCTGTGTGGGGCTGAGCAGCCACAGTCCTGGGTCACCTTGCCCTGCCTTTCGGCTCTCCCTGGCCACGATGCCTCTGGAGTCTGACATGTCCATGGCCCCTTCTCCCCCAGATCCCTGAGCTTCAGACCGTGCCCCACATGGGCAGTGCATTGCTCCCAGCTCAGCTGCACTCACTGGCCACAGCTGTCTCAGCCACTGGCACACGTGTGTCTCCTTGCAGGAAAGCTCCCTCCATCTGCCCAAGGCACCACCACACAGACAGCACCAGCTGACAGGGCAGGCTGAGGGCACCCATCAGCCCGTTAGTGTGCTACCTACAATGGCCTGCTTGGTGACACTGTTTTGGGAAAACTGTGAAGCAACTATTGTTCCTGCATGGCAAGGATGTGAAAAACTAATGTAGGTCTTGGGATCTGTTCTAGGAGGTAAAAGCACTAAGCAGGTTGAGACAGGTTGCTGAAATCATCATCAACGCATTTCCTTTGCAGTAAACACCAGGAGGGTCAGAATAGGAAGGCAGGAAAGGAGATGCAGACTTGGTCGGGGGCTCTGCAACGGCTCCAGGAAAGAAACTTGGGGAAACCCAGGCAGGAGAACACATCCTTGACCTGAGGGGAATGCTGAGCTCCCTGGGAATGAGATGCTTCAACCTGTCCTTATAACAGGCCACCTGAAGGCTTTTTGCTCCTTACCTGTAGTTGAGGTTGTTGGCTCTGGTGTGGCAGTAACTGTTTCAGTGTTGTTCTCTAGAGAAGGGAAAAAGAAGAGAGATGTCAGCAGTGCTTAAGGTTGTGCGGAGGAAAAGCCTTGGGGAACTCTGTGTATGCAGAACAACCTCTGAGTAGTTAAGTGGAGGAACTACATGGGGCTGAGCAGCCACAGTCCTGGGTCACCTTGCCCAGCCTTTCGACTCCCCCTGGCCATGATGCCTCTGGAGTCTGACTCTCCAGACTCTGGAGAACTGCACCAGGAAAGAAACTTGGGCAACCCAGGCAGGAGAACACATCCTTGACCTGAGGGGAATGCTGAGCTCCCTGGGAATGAGTTACTCCAACCTGTCCTTATAACAGGCTACCTGAGGGCTTTTTGCTCCTTACCTGTAGTTGAGGTTGTCAGCTCTGGTGAGGCAGTAGCTGTTTCAGTGTTGTCCTCTAGAGCTGGGAAAAAGAAGAGAGATGTCAGCAGTGCTTAAGGAGGAAAAGCCTTGGGGAACTCTGTGTGTGCAGAACAACCTCTGAGTGGGTAAGTGGGGGACCTGTGTGGGGCTGAGCAGCCGCAATCCTGGGTCGCTTTGCCCTGCCTTTCGGCTCCTCCTGGCCATGATGCCTGTGGAGTCTGACATGTCCATGGCCCCTTCTCCCCCAGATCCCTGAGCTTCAGACCGTGCCCTACATGGGCAGTGCATTGCTCCCAGCTCAGCTGCACTCACTGGCCACAGCTGTCTCAGCCACTGGCACACGTGTGTCTCCTTGCAGGAAAGCTCCCTCCATCTGCCCAAGGCACCACCACACAGACAGCACCAGCTGACAGGGCAGGCTGAGGGCACCCATCAGCCCGTTAGTGTGCTACCTACAATGGCCTGCTTGGTGACACTGTTTTGGGAAAACTGTGAAGCAACTATTGTTCCTGCATGGCAAGGATGTGAGAACCTAATGTAGGCCTTGGGATTGTTCAAGGAGACAAAGACAGCAAGCAGGAGGAGACAGGGTAGCTGAAATCAGCACTTTTCTCTTGCAGTAAACACCAGGAGGGTCAGAATAGGAAGGCAGGAAAGGAGATGCAGACTTGGTCGGGGGCTCTGCAACGGCTCCAGGAAAGAAACTTGGGGAAACCCAGGCAGGAGAACACATCCTTGACCTGAGGGGAATGCTGAGCTCCCTGGGAATGAGATGCTTCAACCTGTCCTTATAACAGGCCACCTGAAGGCTTTTTGCTCCTTACCTGTAGTTGAGGTTGTTGGCTCTGGTGTGGCAGTAACTGTTTCAGTGTTGTTCTCTAGAGAAGGGAAAAAGAAGAGAGATGTCAGCAGTGCTTAAGGTTGTGTGGAGGAAAAGCCTTGGGGAACTCTGTGTGTGCAGAACAACCTCTGAGTGGGTAAGTGGGGGACCTGTGTGGGGCTGAGCAGCCACAGTCCTGGGTCACCTTGCCCTGCCTTTCGGCTCTCCCTGGCCACGATGCCTCTGGAGTCTGACGTGTCCATGGCCCCTTCTCCCCCAGATCCCTGAGCTTCAGACCGTGCCCCACATGGGCAGTGCATTGCTCCCAGCTCAGCTGCACTCACTGGCCACAGCTGTCTCAGCCACTGGCACACGTGTGTCTCCTTGCAGGAAAGCTCCCTCCACCTGCCCAAGGCAGCACCACACAGACAGCACCAGCTGAGGCTTAGAGCACCCATCAGCCCCTTAGTCTGCTACCCACAATGGCCTGCTTGGTGACACTGTTTTGGGAAAACTGTGAAGCAACTATTGTTCCTGCATGGCAAGGATGTGAAAAACTAATGTAGGTCTTGGGATCTGTTCTAGGAGGTAAAAGCACTAAGCAGGTTGAGACAGGTTGCTGAAATCATCATCAACGCATTTCCTTTGCAGTAAACACCAGGAGGGTCAGAATAGGAAGGCAGGAAAGGAGATGCAGACTTGGTCGGGGGCTCTGCAACGGCTCCAGGAAAGAAACTTGGGGAAACCCAGGCAGGAGAACACATCCTTGACCTGAGGGGAATGCTGAGCTCCCTGGGAATGAGATGCTTCAACCTGTCCTTATAACAGGCCACCTGAGGGCTTTTTGCTCCTTACCTGTAGTTGAGGTTGTTGGCTCTGGTGTGGCAGTAACTGTTTCAGTGTTGTTCTCTAGAGAAGGGAAAAAGAAGAGAGATGTCAGCAGTGCTTAAGGTTGTGCGGAGGAAAAGCCTTGGGGAACTCTGTGTATGCAGAACAACCTCTGAGTAGTTAAGTGGAGGAACTACATGGGGCTGAGCAGCCACAGTCCTGGGTCACCTTGCCCAGCCTTTCGACTCCCCCTGGCCATGATGCCTCTGGAGTCTGACTCTCCAGACTCTGGAGAACTGCACCAGGAAAGAAACTTGGGCAACCCAGGCAGGAGAACACATCCTTGACCTGAGGGGAATGCTGAGCTCCCTGGGAATGAGTTACTCCAACCTGTCCTTATAACAGGCTACCTGAGGGCTTTTTGCTCCTTACCTGTAGTTGAGGTTGTCAGCTCTGGTGAGGCAGTAGCTGTTTCAGTGTTGTCCTCTAGAGCTGGGAAAAAGAAGAGAGATGTCAGCAGTGCTTAAGGAGGAAAAGCCTTGGGGAACTCTGTGTGTGCAGAACAACTTCTGAGTGGGTAAGTGGGGGACCTGTGTGGGGCTGAGCAGCCGCAATCCTGGGTCGCTTTGCCCTGCCTTTCGGCTCCTCCTGGCCATGATGCCTGTGGAGTCTGACGTGTCCATGGCCCCTTCTCCCCCAGATCCCTGAGCTTCAGACCGTGCCCTACATGGGCAGTGCATTGCTCCCAGCTCAGCTGCACTCACTGGCCACAGCTGTCTCAGCCACTGGCACACGTGTGTCTCCTTGCAGGAAAGCTCCCTCCACCTGCCCAAGGCAGCACCACACAGACAGCACCAGCTTGATGACATTGCTTTGAAAAATCTGTGATGCAGCAACTGTTTCTACGTGGCAAGGATGTGAGAACCTAATGTAGGTCTTGGGATTGTTCAAGGAGACAAAGACAGCAAGCAGGAGGAGACAGGGTAGCTGAAATCAGCACTTTCCTCTTGCAGCAAAGACCAGGAGGGTCAGAATAGGAAGGCAGGAAAGGAGATGCAGACTTGGTCGGGGGCTCTGCAACTGCACCAGGAAAGAAACTTGGGAAAACCCAGGCAGGAGAACACATCCTTGACCTGAAGGGGAATGCTGAGCTCCCTGGGAATGAGTTACTCCAACCTGTCCTTATAACAGGCCACCTGAAGGCTTTTTGCTCCTTACCTGTAGTTGAGGTTGTTGGCTCTGGTGTGGCAGTAGCTGTTTCAGTGTTGCTCTCTAGAGAGGGAAAAAAGAAGAGAGATGTCAGCAGTGCTTAAGGTTGTGTGAAGGAAAAGCCTTGGGGAACTCTGTGTGTGCAGAACAACCTCTGAGTAGGTAAGTGGGGGACCTGTGTGGGGCTGAGCAGCCACAGTCCTGGGTCACCTTGCCCAGCCTTTTGGCTCCTCCTGGCCGTGATGCCTGTGGAGTCTGACATGTCCATGGCCCCTTCTCCCCCAGATCCCTGAGCTTCAGACCGTGCCCCACATGGGCAGTGCATTGCTCCCAGCTCAGCTGCACTCACTGGCCAGTGGCACATGCGTGTCTCCTTGCAGGAAAGCTCCCTCCACCTGCCCAAGGCACCACCACACTGCCAGCATCAGAGTGCCACGGGACTGTGTACAGCCAGCACACCTCCCACTTCCCTACAGTTGCCTTCTCCCCAGGATCATTCAGGTGAAAGTCTGAGGCAGCTGGTCTTTCCAGATGAGGCGCAGGCATGATGGCAAGTGGTGTGCTGCCAGGAAGGGTGCACTCGTCTGAGCTCAGGATGGAGGAAAGCTGAATGGTGGGCAGTTTTCCCCTCCTCAGGGTGACCCCAGCAGGAGCTTCAACCCACCTGGATGTCGCTCCTCAGGACAACCTGGGAGAGGTCTTGGTGGGGCATGGAGGATTCCTGGGAGAGACCATTCCACGGTCTCCTGACACGGTCCCTGGAACTCAGCCCCAAGCTGGTGCATGCTCTGGCTCCCTCCCTGCCAATGCTCCAAGTAGGCACAAGAACAATTCCCTGCAGGGCCTGGTCACAGCTTGCCCCGGGCACCTTGTGTGCAGGGATCTTCTTGACCCAGGATTGGTGCAGGAGACAAAGGCACCAAGCGGGAAAAGAGCTGCCTCTTCAAATCTTCCCCAACACTTTCCCTCTTGCAGCAAAGGCCATCAGGGAAAGAGGGCAGGGTTCTTGGGGAACCTGTGTGTGTACAGGGCAACCTCTGAGTAGGTGATTGAAGGACCTGTGTGGGGCTGAGCAGGTAAAGCCCTGGCCAGCCTTGCCCTGCCTTTGGGCAGTCCGCAGGGCCACTACCTTATTGGTGTCCTGCTTTCCCTCATTATCCTTCTCCCACACCCTGGCATCTGGGTCATTCCCACCAATAGCAGTTTTGTACCCTTCCTGCCTTTCTCTGCTAAGAGACCACGGCATGCTGAGTTGCCGGCACACACGTCTCCTTGCAGGAAAACTCCCTCTGCCTTCCCAAGGCAGCACCACATGACCAGTTCTGCCTTCCACAGCAGGGTCACAGAATCACAGAATCGCCTAGGTTGGAAGGGACCTTTAAGATCATCTAGTCCGACTGTAAAAAACAACAACAACAACAAAAAAAACCCAAAACCCACCACACCTACAGACCACCAACCAACACTAAACCATATCCCCGAGAACCGTGTCAACTCGTCTTTTGAATATCTCCAGGGATGGTGCCTCAACCACTTCCCTGGGCAGCCCATTCCAATGCTTGATAACCCTTTCTGTGAAGAAATTTTTCCTGACATCCAACCTGAACCTCTCCTGGTGCAACTTGAGGCCATTTCCTCTTGTCCTGTCGCCTGTAACTTGGGAGAAGAGACCGACCCCCGCCTCTCTACAACCTCCTTTCAGGTAGTTGTGAGGGCATCCCATTCTATTCCTATGTCAATTTGCTTTTCTCATCCCTTAAACAAGCAGCAATTTTACCACTATACACCTTCAGTAGTTGCACTGCTTTTAATTAGACTTACATGACATCTCACTTCACAGTTAGCATGTTCACAGTGACTCTTCAGATTCTGCTCTAGACTTCAGCTAAATCCACAAAAAATACATTTGCTGCAAGATATACCTATATAGATAGTTTGCAATTATGGAAGATGGTCTCAGGAGAAATATCATTAAAAACTCTAAATGGACTCTCTCAGAGCAGTGGTGGAATAATGACTGCCTTTGCTAACACCCCCTGGGCTCTAATAAATACAAGTGGACAGTGAAAGCAGAGAGTTTTTATACAGCATATGTATATTCTGCTAAATTATCATCAGCAAGACCCTATTTCCAGGACTGCACTTGGAAGTATATAACTTGTAGCTCCATAACTTGGAGTTTTGACAGTATACTTTTTTTTTTTTTCATTCTTTTCCTTCCTTGTTGTAATTCTTTCTGAATAAAGAGAAATGTGGCTGATACTGGAATACGGTTGAAGAAAATTTTCCTTGTGTTTTGGTTTTACCATTACCTGTTACTGCGTTTACTCTTCTGAAGTATTTTATCTATTTCTCTTTAGGATGTTTATTTCATATTTTAACTGGGTCATTTTTAACTCTTGATGTAAGGAATGTTTGCGGGTTTTGTGTCTATAAATAAGGAGAACAAATAATAAAACAGCCTTGCTGATAGACATGTGAATCATGTGATTTAACTTCAATCTAAATTAGCTAATATGTCAGTTAGGAATAAACATGTTTACTCTCAGTTAATGCTGCTGCAATCATAATTTAATCTAAGTCATTAACAGATTAGTTAATATGTCAGTTAGGAATAAACATGTTTACTCTCAGATTAAATTATGATTGCAGCAGCATTAACTAAGTCATTAACAACATGCAGCTGGAAGACTAATGTATTTCTAGGTAAAACCCTTGGCACTAACACGCTCTTATAGCTGGTATATCAAAAAAAAAAAAAAACACATTACAAAACTCAACAGACATTTGAAAAATAGACCCCACTTTTCAAGAGCTTTGAAAATCCAAAGTGAGGCAAACTTTACAAACTTTTTTCTTCTGATCAATAAAGTGGATGTAGAAAAGGCACATCAGAAAGTCATCACCTGAAGTAATCCATTAGTCTCCTCTAGGTGAAGGGGAAACATGAGCAATTGTGCCAGTTGTCTGCCAAATCTTCTGCCTCCACTGGTCACTGAGTCCTAGAGGCAGCATTATTTGTTCCCCAGTCCATGTTAAGAAATGTTACTTTTTCCTATAACCATGATAATATAAATCTATGCTGGCCACAGGCCGTGGTTTTGGAGCATTATTTAGATTGCCATCTCAAAATGGATGGTGGGGCAGTAACCTCGTACAGTGCTAGCCCTTGGTCTACAACAACTGTTAGCCTTGTAGAGGATCTGGCTAACAGTTGTTCAGGACTATTACCCTTTGGATCCAGTAAGAATCACTTTCATGGCAACAGCAGAGCACGTAAGCTGCAATTGAACATTGCTGAAGGTAACCTGCCATTATTTTATGGCTCTGTCTCCCTAGACCCAACTTTCTGCGTAGGGAAACAGGATGTGTTAATAGACTTAAGTGTTTACTGGAATAACAGAGACATCTGGCTGCTGATAGGGCAGAGCCTTTGCCAGTGCTATTCAAATGGATAAATCCTGCAATGTTTTTACAATGTTTGCTTAGAAGGAAAAGGTTTCTGGGCAGGCCCATCCTGACACAAAGTCTGTTGGGTCAAGATTTTTCACATCTTGCTGTTACGCACAAGCTTCCAAACAGAAAACCAAACAACTAACAATCTTGAAGACTTCTATGCTCATAATTCATAGCTAAAAATCGGTCTGTAGCATGTTGTAGATGTTGCTGGAAATCCACACCAGCCAACAGAGACCCACAACCATCTGCTACCCGTTGCAAGCTTAACAGCATCAGTAAAGATCTTAATTTGGCTCATATCTCTGTAACTTTGTCTCCGTATTAGACAGGAGTTCCTATCCTCTCAAAGCTTCAGGTCTCTGGCCCACAACTACCAAGTTTGCCACTATGCCCAAAAAGCACTAAGTGGCTTAAGGAATGACACCTGCCCTTCAGTTTGAACAGACCATGGTGCAACCCTTGGCCGCCCGTGGCAGTGGTGAAGTTACCATTAATTAATTTCAACAGGAGGGAATGAATGCTCTGCAAGACAGCTCAGGCAGTGCTGCTTTCTAGACGGATCGTTTAAGGAGCCAGAAGGCCAGCAGCAGCGCTCCTTTCCCTGGGTATTGAGGTGGAACAGTCACACCTTTTGTTATGACTGTAACAGAGCTTGAATTACCTGGGTTTAGCGCACAAGTCCTGAAAACTGCTCTTGAAATAGGCTAAATTAGGTTAATCACAAGCACCAGTGATATTGCATTTTTCTGCGAACAAGGACAACTGTTGGCTTTCAGTGACAATTTCCTTGTTAATTAATCAAAATCTAGACATGCTGAATTGCGTATCGCCACTGACCTCCAGCATCACAGCAGCTGCTGAAAGTACTAAGCAATTCATTCACTGCCACAGGATAGCTGCCCTGATAAATCCCAAAACAGAAGATAGTGTTTCTTACCTCTCGAAAGGCTTACCGCCAGGCTGAGCACCACGGCGAGGAGTATGTGGTGTCTCATTGCTGCTTCTGTTGCTGCTGCCACTTGCCGCTAAACCTAAGAGAAAGTGCTTTTCTCTTCTGTCATCAGCTCATTTAAGGTCCCAGGCACAGGTACTGAGTTCAGCCCCGAGCTGACGTCATGGTGGCAAGCAGCAAATGATAGATCCCAGCTGTGTTTTTCTTCTTCCTCAGCTGGGAAAAGATTTCTGGTCCTGCAGTGCTCTTCCTTGAAGTCATAAATTCCTAAGACCTGTTGACACAAGGAAGTTACCGCTAAATAAGCTGTTGTGGGAACTGATGGCACGACAGCTATCCCCTGCCAGCTCTCCATACTGACAAATTCAATGCAAATTAGATGGACGGTGCTGTATAATCTGTTCTTAAAATGCAAGAAGCTATCCCATCCCAAGGCATGCTAATTACGCACTTTGAACAGAGTACCTGTTCACTTCCTTTGCAATAAATTACCAGTCAGACAGACTCTATGCCTCAGACCTCAATTTTCGTTTCCTTTAAGCAGAATTTTATGCCAAAGCACTTCTTACTGCTTAACAGGGTAAAAAGCAACAGAAAACACAACTTCGACATCAAAGAAATAGGACTGACCTTGGCCCTTCTGGCAGTGATTATGGCTCTCTTGTTTGCTGCCATCTTATGTGTGGTATGGGCTCACTAAAGCGATGTGGCCAGAGAAGGGGAAGCAGGGAGGGTAGCTGGAAGGTGTTTGACGGGGTGGTAGTCCTCCTTTCTTGAGACAAAGTGCGTTTGTGCCAGGGAGACACTTGGAAGAGAGAAGGATCAGGCTGGAGCAGGGAGTTTGCAGCAGATCTAGAAATGAGAAGTAGCCCAGAAAGCTATGATACAGGGAAAATAGGCGGGACACAGAGTCTTTTTGACATTGCATCCCAGGAAGCCGCTGAAAATTGCTAGATAGAGACCAAGATGGGAAAAAAGATCTCTGCAGGCAGGATCTGGTTTTTGCAAATCCTCTTACTTTTAGCTGCCTCATTAGCTTGAGTTCTCTAGCTCAAGTGTGTTTGTTCTGCTTTGTGCTGCAGTAAAATCTACTGCTTGAAACAATTTGAAATCAGATGGCCCACAGTGGTTTCCATTTCCTTTTTTTCAGGGAAAAGTGTGATTTCTCTCACTTTGAAGGCCTGGGTGTCCCTGGATCCTGCCACAACTGCCAATAAAGTATTTCAGTGAAATAAACACAGGTTATCCTGTCATTATCAGACGTGGACAAGAAGGATGAGGTGTATCCTCTGCAAAGCCATCTGTAAAGGCTGTGAAGGCTGTAGAGCTGGTCTCCTCTGGCAAACTCCACTGCCAGAAACACTCGCAGGTTATGAGCATGTTTCCAAATAAGAAGTAACATCTCTGTGTGTTAAATACTTCTCCCCTTCCTTCACCTGCCTTTGTTCAAACAGTCTGCTATTTTAAGAACAAGACAAGCAGTGTCGTGCACTAATCTCAGATATTCAGAGTGGCTCTTCCTGTATGTAGGAGGGTGGGAGAGCCCAGAAGTATTACTCAAGTCATTCCTGAGCTTAGGGTTATTGTAAACTGGAGCAGGCCCAGAGGAGGGCCAAAAATTAGAGGGATGGAACACCTCTCCTGTGCGTACAGGCTGAGAGAGTTGGGGTTGTTCAGCCTGGAGAAGAAAAGGTTCCAGGGAGACCTTATTGCGTCCTTTCAGTACTTAAAGTGAGCTTATAAGAAAGATGGGGAGAAGCTTTTTAGCAGGGCCTGTTATGATAAGACAAGGGCTAATGGTTTTAAACTAAAAGAGGGTAGATTTAGACTAGAGAGAAGGAAGAAATTCTTTACCCTGAGGGTGCTGAAACACTGCCACAGGTTGTCCAGAGAGATGGTAGATGCTCCATCCCTGGAAATGTTCAAGGTCAGGTTGGACAGGGCTCTGAGCAACCTGATCTAGTTGAAGATGTCCCTACTCATTGCAGGGGGATTGGACTAGGGGAGCTTTAAAGGTCCCTTCCAAGCCAAACTACTCTATGACTCTGTAATTGTAAACTTTTTACGTGCACCAAACCAGGAAACACCGGTGGCTTACGGACAGCTGGGTGCCTCCCTCCTGGCATGGGGAAGGAGGGGCCTGGCCTCATCCCTCTGTGCTCTTCCTCATGGACCCGCTCAGTGTGCTGAGCCTGAAACACGGGGTGGTTTTTCTGCATCTTCCTTTGCCCCTCCAGCCCTGAAGCCCCACCAGGACAGCCTGCTCCCTGCACCTATGACCCGTCCCCACAGTGACCCCCTGGCAGCACCTGCCCTGCCCCATGGCAGCCTGGAACTGGCCGGCAGCTCCTGAGGGAGGCCCATGGTGGACGCCCTGCATGGTCACCAGGGTGGTTAGAGGGGGTGGTGGAAATCCCAAGCTCTGAGAGGAAGCTGGTGTCAGGGTCTCGATATGTGGCCACCTCAGGGAGTTCAGTCATGGGGGCTGCCCCTGGCCTTCCCCGGGGTGCTGGTCCTGCCCCGCTGGGGGACCAAGCCAGGCTGGGGTGTCCCTCAGGAGATGGTGCTGAGGAGAAGACCATGCTAGAGGTAGCCCACGCTAGCTGTTATGGAGCTGTGGGGGACCAGGAGCAGCCAGCACCCGTCCCACTGCCCCCAGCCAGGGAGCAGGGCCAGCCTGTGAGGGCGGCCAAGGCCAGAGCCAGCCCCAGGGCGGCCTGGGGTGTGATCGGGGCCCCCATAGCCCCCTGCTCATCGGCCGCCCCTCCAGGCCATGCTGCTCGCTCCCACGCCAGTCACCCATCCCAGCCCATTTAGTTCCTCCAAGCCCATTTGTAAGAGTCCCCTTTGCCACAGAGCTGAGAGAAAAAGGGAAGAGAATGCCTGGGAAGCGTTTGGAACCACAGCACTGTGCCTCCCTGCTCGGGTAGCGCCCAACCTCCACTCCCAAGCCACCACTGCCCTCCCAGCTTCCCCTCAGGGGGCACCCAAAAAACTGACCCTGAAGCCTCATTAAAATAAAGCATTTCATTCCTGAGGAGACAGTGCTGTGAGCCCCCAGGGACACCAGCCATCTGAGGACTGCCATGGTTTAACACCAGCTGGCAACTAGGACCACACAACCATTCACTCATTCCCATCCCCGGTAGGGTAGGGAGAAGAGGGAGAAAAAACCTCATGGGCTGAGATAAAGACAGTTTAATAGAACACTAATGGAAGAAGAAAGTAATAATAATAATAATGGTAAAAGAATATACAAAATAAAGTGATGGAATACAATTGCTCTCATCACCCAGTGATCAATTGCCCAGGCTGTCCTGAGCAGCTATCATGGATTCCTGCTCCCTGCCCAATCCCCATTTATACACTGAGCATGATCTGTATCGTATAGAATATTCCTTTGGCCGGCTTGTCCTGTCTATGCTCCCTTTCAGCTTCTATGGGAAGCTGAAAAAGTCCTTGACTTAATATAAACATTACTTAGCAACAATAAAAACAGTATGTGCTATCAACATTATTTCATTCTTAGTCCAAAACACAGCAGTTGCTACGGGGAAAATTAACTCTGTCCCAACTGAAACCAAGACAGGGAACTGCAGCATGTGCTTCAGCTGGAAATCGGTGTGCAGAGAGGGACAAGCCTGGCTGTGGAGTGTGTTTGGCAGATATGTATGCCACTGGTCCTCTACAGATGTCCATCCCTCATATCTAGACTCTTCAGTCATCATGATACATCCCAATTTTCCAATGCTGCCTCAAGGTGCAACTAGACTAATCTCTGTGTTGGCTGTGAAACGGTCATGTAAGACCAAGAGAACTTCCCAGAGCGCTCTTGAAAATGAGGGTGAGGTCTTTAGCAGGTGTAAACGGTGTAGCTTTGCTGGCTACACAGATATCTACTGGTTGAGTGTGTAGTCCTGCACATGAAAATTGTTACCTGGTTCTTCCTGTTTATCACAATCACAGTTTGGGAAGTGTGAATGATTTGCAATGTAAAAGGCATCAGTTCCGCCAGGAAACAGTGTGCTGAACAGACACACTTCATGTACCTGATCTTTTCATCTCTGCTTGCCCTCCCCTGTCCACTTTGTGACACGCCAGTGGTCACAACAGGTTCTCCACAGAGAAAGGGTTGCATATGCCCTACTGCTTGCCAATTCGTGGGGAAATTATAATAGAGATTTGATGGTTTAGGAGAACAGACACAGAGAATCACCAAAACAGGAGAACTAGTGTCGGTGAAAGATCAGCAGCTCTGATGAAGTTATTAAGCACACATTTAGACAATAGATAGTAGACTGTTAGTGCAGACAGACTCACACACAGCCACAGCAGTTGTGATGTCCTTTAAGAAAGGACAACGAAAACTTCTTTGCAGAAACAACTGGGTAACTTTCCAGAAGCTGTAAAACCAAACTGTTGTTGTGTGTCAAAGCTCAGATACAGCAGTGAAGAACACTGACAAATTACTATTATGGAATAAAAAGTGTGCTATATTTAGTGACAAACACCATAGCTGTTCTCTTGTCTTGATCTTTGTTTATGGCAACAGAAATAAGTATGAAAGGCAAAGGGCCTTCTTTATTAGAAGGTGCATAGTCCTGTGCAGCCTCATTATTTAACTGTAAGTTGCATGTAATCAAGGGGCAATCATATTGCCAGAAAACATACATTGAAGGAAGAGCAAATAGCAAATATGTTTTATAGCTCTTCACGTGCATCAGCTGGATACTTTCTTCCTGTGTATTTCTTCAATCCTCTTCCTTACTAGAGTCCTATACATTTTGCTATCTCATGTAAATTTGGTTCATCCACTGTACATTCCATACACAAGTAGAAATACATGTTGTAATTAGCTAAAAGTTCAGATAGCCCTCCAGGAAGTCTAAATCAAAGATACATACAGAATCACCCATAATCAGGGGCAGCAGATGTGCTTTGACTTCTTTTCAGGTGGTTCTCAAAAAGGTTGAGGGCACAAAGTGTGGATGCATTTGATGGTGTCAGAGGCACTGGTATACAAATCTGAAGTGGGCAGGACTGTTAAATCATGTACTTGTCCATAACTGCAAAGGTCTTTTATCTAGTTTCATGGCAGTATTGTTACCAGTCCTTTTGCATTGCCAATTTCCTCAAAATATACCAAAGTCACACAGAAAATAGAACAACTTGCAATAGTATTGGCAACAAAACTCAGGCACTGTTAATGGTCCTTCTCTGGCAATTGAACAGAACCTCAGGATTTAATCAGCCTACTCTCTCCTTTGTTCTCCCACTGGAGTCTTAACTAGACAAGGAACAAGCCTGTAACACAATTCTGTACTATATCACCATAGAAAGTAGACTGTAGTTTCAGTATGTAGCAAGAAGTATGCTCTAGACTCACCATTTCTCTGCGATTGGCACTCACTTCATCTAGGGCAGCTGTCTAGTGTGGGGGGTCTTGTGACACTACTGTCAAGGATGAGGGATATCTTACCATGGAGTGAGCTACCCTCTCGGATGCTTTTCTCTTTTTTCCTGGAGATGCCAGATGGTGGGTTCAAACTGGCCACCTAACTTTTGGTAGAACAGATGAATCGCACCTTATTCCCATCTGATTGCTATCACAGTTGAGCATCGTACTCCTCGGGAGCACTATAGGAAAAGATTGTCCCAGATGAACATACCTGCCATTTCTTGAGATGCTCTTCCATGTCACACGTCTTCCCAGCAACCTGGGCTGAACATTGTCTTCAAGGTACCCTCCTCCTTCCTCTGAGAGATGTTCAGCTGTACATTCTTCACAGTCCCCAGTGAGGGAGGACTGACTTTACTGGGGTCAGATCCAGCCCCTTGCCCTTGCAAACACCCCTGCTGCATCAACCTCTCCTGAGGTTTTCCTCCCCTCCAACATGCACTCACACATGCAAACACACAACTTCACCAATTCTCTTGCGATTCCAGCAGGATGAAAAATAAAATTGAGGAAAAAAAAAATTAAATTAAATTGAGTTGCTTAATGCTACTGAAATAAATGTATCAGAACAGAACTTGTATTTTAGCTGAGCAGAAGCTCATTTAGCACAACAGAACTTACCCAATTCCTCTTTGCTTCTCATTTTAGTTATTCAATCACAAAGCACCACCAGAAAAACAGAGAACGATAATATTTCTTATTTGATAGATTAGATTTCTAAGTATAATTAAAACCATCTAAAATTGCATATGCATCTCTCTACAGGGAAAGCTAAAGACAATAAAAAAGCTGAGACAGAGTAATATTCATAATTTTATTGTATCTTTTTATAATACTGACTAGAACGCCAGATTTAATAATATTGGATGCAGGTATAAAAATAATCCAATCCTTAAAAATTATATTTTGCTACTACAGTACTGTATAATTAGTGGAGGCTGAAAATATGATACAACTTTAAATAATACTGGTTTTGAAAACATCCTCGGAACCCCAGCGACTTGGAAGCAAACATTCAGAGATACAGAGAAGGAAAAAGGGCAGTGTCAAGTACATAAAGCAGTTTACATTCAGGTTGATAAAAGAAGCACAAACAAATGCTGAAAATTTACCTTTTGAAAGAGAGCTCACGAAAGGTAAGCTTTATTACTGCAATTCTGAAAGCTGCTCAAATAAACCATTATGATTTTACATGCTAAGTCAGACCTCCTGTTAAGAGAAAGTCTTGTAGAATTTAACAAGGCTTAAAACAAATGAGTGAGTTTAACAGAATTTCCTTTAGAAAAGGAAACTATTAAATATTGGTTAGGGTTTTCTTCTTTAAAGGAAACCTACCCAAGCAGATTTAATTGGAGACCTTTTGGGTCAGACATTGTTCAAGAGAAGTGATCAGTTTTTACTGTATTCCACAGGATTTTTCTGTACAGGATTTTGTAGATGTGGGGGATGCCTGCTGTGGCCATTCACCTAAGCAAGACTCCCATCCCTTCTAACACTTTACCAGAACAAAGACCAGGGAACTTACTATTTACATATTAGTTTTGAGGATCACCAGGTACCCTCTCTAGGTTTTCCCTCAACAAGGTTATTACACACATGCAATACAAACTAGACACAGAAAAGGTGTCATCCCACATATGACCTTACAGTACAGAAGCCACACTTGTCTTAGATATTTACTTCTCCAAAACATGTAAGCACATTCCTTTCTTCTTCTTCTTTTTTGTCTTTTTTTTGTTGTTGTTGTTGTTGTTATTTCTTACCCCTTCATGGACTTCTGTCCTACTTTTCTATTTCAGCAGTTCAACGGAACAAAGAATTAAATACACGTTGCAAGGCTCCTGAAATCTTAAAAGCACACAGCACATGCCCCCTTTGAAACTGGGAGATCTTCCTTCATTTCTGAAGGGAAAAATAAGAGTGAACTGAAGAGCTCTTATCTGTGACTGCAGGAAGCACCTCTACATCCCTAGAATATCTTACCCGATAGGGAACAGGTTGGCTGATCAGTAAAACAATTACACAAAATTCAGATTCATTCTCTTCTCAGGAAGGTGTTTCAGATCTTGAACCTGTTTTGTTCAATCTCACATAATACAGGTTCTGCTAGAGTAATAAGTATACTTTTAAAAAAATAAATACAACACGGAAAGGCAGAAACAGTATCACAGAAATAGGCAGAACACAGATCCATGGGAAAGCATGTACTACACACAGGTGACCCTGGTGGTGGATTACTTCAGCCCCCAAAAAAACTTCATGGGAAAGTTACCCTGGTCACTGTAATGGCTGCTGGATTAGGCCCTTTGAGTGTAAAGAGGAAAAAACATTAGTCAGCATAGGAAGAGCATTTAAGTAAAATGCATCCGTTCTTGTTAATTTAAGGAAAAAAACCTAAAGATTAAACTTCACTCTGAGGGAATGAGAAGTCCAGCTGGATTTGGAACGGATATGGCCATTGACTGGGGTTAGAGACAAGCCCTGGGGAAGCACTTGGCGTGTCTGCAGCAATGACCTGCTCCGCTGCTCACTCAGATCCCAGCAAACACTGTTTACACACATTGGCATAAACAACTTCACAAGATGACAAAGCCCCCTCTCTATCTGCAATTTATTTCTATTTTTAAAGCCTTTTACTACCACTTGGTGTGGAGGCAAATACCTTTTAGAAGCCTGGTCACAAGGGGTGACTCAGGACATGACTATGATAGTGGGACTTACGGGAAATACCGCAACAATGAGATTTGTTGCTGCTGTATTACCTCATGCTTTAACTGTGGAGGGCATAGTGCATCAAAATTCTCCTGTCCTGTTTTTTTCCTCATCTAGCCCAATTCTGTGCTGTGAGTTTTCAACAGCACACAAAAGGTCCCCGATTTTTGCAGTGCAGCTGGGAGGGCTGGCCGGGGCGAGCAGCGGTGCGTGGCAGGGACTCAGGAAGGCTGCACGTACCAGCCTCCCTTTTGAATGATGCCTCAAACCTGTGTTTTGCTGCTCTGCTCACTGGGGCTACCTTTCCTAGGCTGAGTGCCAGGTGTACTTCTGTGAGCGAGGGGCTTTTGTCAGCACAACTGGCAGAGCACCATAGCAGCAAACGTGTGTCTCCCACGTCTTTTCCTGTCAAGCAACAGAATTAGCATTTTTTCCAAAGTTAATAAAAAACACACCCACACAACTGCCCACGGGCCCTTGCTGACTGCTCCCCTAGTTTTTCGCAGTAGCCAGGAGCCAGGGCAGATTTCTGAGCAGTGTTGGTGTAGTTTTTCTTCCTTTCCCCACATCTGGCTGAACCACTTGCATCCTCCTTACAAGAAACATGCCATTTCTATCTTATCCTCTGGGACAGTGGAGAGCAACTCCCCTTGGCAAAAACATCCAGCGCGCTCAAAATTTGCATCTTGGAGTAGCTAAAAGTAATCTAAGCAGTCTGAGAAACAAAACACATTGATTTAGACATCCTACGGGGAGTTAGGTACTGAGCGGAGAGGCATCCACATTTGAAAGTGGGCTTGAGGGCACGTGAAGATCCTTCTCACATCCAACAGGAGCAGTAAACCTTACCACGCCGCTGCCAGAGGGTGCTTAGGTTATGGCAGAGATGGAAGCAGCCAGAGAAGATCCTGGTGGCAGCTTTAGCAGAGACAAGCTGCGCTGAAACAGGCCATATCCCTGCCATGGCCGGGCAAGCCCACTGCTACCGGGATGCGGTAGTACACAGCTGACGTGAAGGAACTGCCATAAACTATCAAAACACCCTGCAGGGCACCCACACCTCTGCCCTAGTGGAACCAGGAGCCGGTGGGGTTGGGGTGAAGACAGACGTGTCACAGCACAGGGAGTGGCTGGGCTGGTGGAGATCTTGGGGCTGAATCACTTCGGGCTGTACCTCCTAGCTCCACAAAGACTTCCTGGAGCACCCCGCAGGAAAGTACCTGTGCTCACCCAGTGCTGACACTGCCTAAATCCTCTTCTGCCCACTGAGCCTCCTAGGACACCCAGAGACAGCGCTGCATTTCAGGAGAGACCCTTTTCCTCCGCCTGTGGGTTATTTCCTCCTTTCTCACCAAACCTAAAAGGAAGGTCAGGCTGCAATAGATACATTCTCACATAAAATTTCCCATTGTTTACCAGGTCTGGCAGAGGGAAAATTTCACTGCGATAAAGTTCTCTCTTTTGGAAAAGGCTAAGTTTTGCAGTCCTCACTCAGAAAATCCTGCTGGTTTTACTAAGACCTTTTCACTCCAGATCCAGTATTAAGAAGAATTTGAAGATCATTAATTATTTGCAAACTTTTGTGTGATTTCAAACAGGAACAGTCTTAACTCGTTTCCTTTCAAATCCCTTGCAATTTGCTGTGAGATACAGACCAGTATTTTGTTCATATAATCCATGTTACTCTTCATACAGAAACTGATCTGCAATTATGAATCGATATTTCCTCCTTTGTACTTGGCACAGGCAGGAACTTTTCCCAGTCTTTGAATTAACCCAGCAGTTAAACATTTTTGCTGCTACAACCTGCAAGGTTGATAGTGGATCAGATAGACATGTAGTTGCGTGCACCATCACCATAAGATCATGTAAGTGCAAAGCACACTGCCCTTGGCATCCATAAAGTCCTGGTTTTCTGCAAGACCACGCTGCTGTTTCTACTCAGTAGATAAGGGATGAGGCATAAAAAGACACTGCGTTTGTGTGCTGTGGCTGCTGCACCAAACCATGTGTTCTCAAGCACATTTGTGGTGCCTTTCCTGCCTTGCAGTTTTGAGAAAACAGAAGGAAATGTGAACAGGGACCAACAACCTCTTAGCCCACGCGTCTGATAACTGCCTACTGCTAGCTGCCCTTCCTCTGGGTAGCTGTTGCTCATTTTTGATCGGGTATACAACAGCCTTCAAAGTGCTGGGAAAGGATCTGGGGACTCACAGCATCTATAGTTCATTCTAAATTTATAAATCTCCTTATCTCTTCCTCTCCTTTGTCTGTTGGGGGGGAAGAGGGAGGGAGGGGTGGGCACCTGTCATTCTGGTTTTGGTCAATTCAGCCAAAACCATGACCACGACACAGGTACTACTACCTGCTCCCTGACAGAGGGCTCCTCATCACCCCAGGTTTGCCTCCAGTGAGCAACTACACAACACATCAGCATCTTATTTGGCATTAGGCACTTTGGGGGATGCATCCCATGGTCCTTAGAGCTTCAGTGAGATGAGCTTCTTCTATGAACTTACTTGTAGGCACTGTGTCTTTTTGAACACTGCGGGAGGCTGGTAGAGGGAGAAGGAAATATCAGAGAGTATGTGTCCTTCAGTGAAACTAGCTTATATACACACTACAGAGATGGGGGGTTAATGGCTAAGGAATTGTGCTATTTGTTATCCTCCTACAAGCAGCCACCTTGAATTAAGAGCACAGCTACATTCAGGGGAAGGATCTGCATCTGGACCCTTAACTGGACAGGGTTTGGATGACTCAGGTTAACACTGCAGTAAAGATAATCAGTAAATATACTTCATTTATAAGATCTCTTTCAACACCCAGCTCAGGTCAGAATACAGTCCATGAGTTTTCAACCTGATCTTTGGTGAGAAATGTAGTAACTTCAGTTCTTTGAGGATGTGATTAATATGAATTAACACACCTAGGTGAGGAAACCTGCCTGGTCTGAATCTGAATCACTCGAAACTAGAATGGAAGAAAGCAAAACACTTCAACATAAGTGATCTTTGTTCTGCTAGAACTGGAAGCATCATGTTTTTCTCTGCCTTAAATGCAACTGACTGCAGTGAGCCTTATTTTCCAATGTACTGAAAGCCTCTACAGCTCCTACTGAAGTCAAGGTGGGCTGTGGAGGCCTGAAAACTGTCTCATCTGCAGTGTCCAGAACTCACATTCTACCTGCCCAACCAGAGGTATAGCATTATTGCGCCTTCCCAGATTCCTTGAAAGGAGCGTGCTGAATTCTCAGCTCATGTTTTGCTTCCCCATGAGCAACTATTTAACATTATATTGCTGTTTCTACAGGCATTTAAAACCCTGCAGGGAAACAGAGCCACATAAGATCCTATACAGAAGCATTATGATGTTATGTAGTGGTATCACTTCTGAACAATGCTGGTTGACAAAACAACATGCTCAGACTCTTCCCTATATAGACAAAGCTTTCAAAGCAGCGCACAGCACCAACTGTGTCTTTTTTTCAGTTAGAATTGCAGTGGTAAAACTAACTCTCCTGTACTCCTTGGAGACAACCAACTCATTAATTCAACCAACATTTCCAGGCACCAGGCTTCAGCAAAGACCCAGCCATCTGCAGAACTTGTACCACTAAGAAGGCGAGGGCCAGAGGATCAGCCAGCTTCCCTGTCGTGTATGAAACGCAGCAATGGAAAAGGGAGTGGACAAACTTCCCTACCAAAAGGAGTTGCACAGTGAAACTTTGCATGAAGGTTGGCTAAGAAGACATGCACAGTCAACAGTGAACAAGATCTGTAAACAAAACACTCCCTAGTGGTATTCAATGCAGAATGGTGGGCTTAATTTCACCTGCCTGTGCTGATCCATGCTTGCCATCTAGCGTAAAGAGTGAAGAAGCAACACAGAACAAATTCAGAGTATACGCGTTAACTTCCATCTGGATCTTTTAGTGATGTGCACCTTGAGCCATTCCCTCCTCCTCCTCTTTCTCTCTGCTGCTCAGTGAGTGTAACCATTTCTCAACGATCGGCATGGAGTTCAAAGTCCTTTCTGTTAAATGGGAAGAGTAAGATTGATGTGGGCTGAACTGCCCAGGGGACAGATTGTACCTGGGGATCAAAGGCCACGGAACTGTGTCAATCTTCCACTCCCTCTCCACTCCCTGCTAAAAATAGTCTCTTCTTCTGGTTTCATCACTAATGAAGGATGGATTGTATTGTCCAGGGTAGATGCATGAATGTCGAGATCCAGGCAAACCAGTGTAGGGAGGATAAAGTCCGTTTCTTTCCAGTTCAGGATTTCTCAGTCCAGTTGGCTGTATTAGCAAAAAAAATTAAATAAAAAAGGTCTTATTCTCACACTCAAATCCTCCTTCAGGCACAGCCTGATCACCTTTCCCAGCAGTTATTTTGGTAGCTAGCATGAACGGTGTGATCGCTAATGATGTCTATAACCTAGAATGATTTTTACTGTGGGAGTTATGCATTGCCTGAAGGGATTATTCTGATGTAATCTAGTTTCACTGTCTTGCCACTTAGCACACTTGAAATTTACCTGACTCCACCAAGTGCAATCTAAATTGACAGCTAATTTTTAATCCAAGAGAATTGTGCTGATGAGCTCAGGCACTGAAACAACTCTCATGAAAAGGAAATGTCTCTAGAAAATCAAAGTTAGTCTCCTGCTTTAAGTATTACCTGGGAGCAATTCTCTCCTCATTAGCCAAAGGTACCTATTCTCCCAACACAGGCACTTGAGTTACATGTCAAATACAAAGTGAAATGACCTTTCTTTCTCTTACTTAAGTAAATCTCCTGGGGAGACTTGGTTGAGGAACTTTGATGTTTAGGACCGAGACTGTACAATCCTTTCACCCAGTAGCTAACAGAGCAGATCCACGCAAAGCCCTCATCACCTACTCCTTGATAACAAGCTCCCCTTTCTCGTCACCAGCATAATAAAAGTCTTAACAAATGCTTAGAAAATGCATTTTCATTTCCAAATCTCTCATTCTTACTGGAAGCAGGATGGAGGGTTATTTCCCTTCATGAGGTGCAACCCAGTAAACTTGCTCACTGGAAAACCTAAAATACAAGCCAGAAAAAAAAAAAGAAAAAAAAAAA